CACCCCCACCCCCATGTGCTGTCACTCAGACAATGCACGTGGCTAAGGTTTCCCAACTGTTGTTGGTAAGTGCCTCTGAGTCGACTCCTACTCATGGTGACCTTATGTATAAAACCCATTGCCACTGAGTTGATTCCAACTCATAGTGACCCTATGGGACAAAGTAGAACTGCCCATAGGGTTTCCAAGGCTATAATCTTTATGGAAGCAGACTGCCACATCTTTCTCCTGCAGAGTGGCTGGTGGGTTCAAACCGACCTTTTGGTTTGCAGCTGAGTGCTGAACCCCTGTGCCACCAAGGCCTTATGCATAACAGAACAAAATGTTACTGGTCCTGTGCCATCTTCATGATCATTGGTATATCTGAGTCTGTTATTGTGGCTACATGTCAATCCATATCATGGACGGTTTCCCTGGTTTTCTCTAACCCTCTACTTTACCACACATGATGTCCTTTTCTAGCGGCTGATCTTTCCTGACGACCTGCCCAAAGTAATGGAGAAGAAGTCTCGCCATCCTCACTTCTAAGGAGCATTCTGGTTGGATTTCTTCTAAGATGGATTTTGGACCCCTGGCTTGATATCCACATCACAGACTTCTATCTTGAACTTCAGTTTGCAGCCACCTGATCAACCCTCTCTTTGGATATCCAATAGCATCTTCGTCTTCACATGTCCAAAATCAGACTCCTCATCTTCCCTGCTAAACCTATTCCTGTGACAATTTTTTCATTTCTCAGTAAATGGAAACTTTATGCCAAAAATTTGTAAGTAATTATTGGCAGCTCTCTTTCTCTCAAATCCTGCATCCAGTCTCTGAGGAATCCTTGCCGTTCTATCATTACCTCTTCCCTGGAGATATCAGCTTTCTCCTCCCCGGCACTCCTTCTTCCATCCTTGTCTCATGGCCCGCTATTCATCACCCCACAGCCAAAGTGATGGTGCCACTCCCGTGCTCAGATCCTCCAGTGGGTGCCTCTGCCTCACTCAGAACACGCAGCCAGCCTGGTACCAGGCCTGTGGGCCGTAGGACCACCATGGTCTCTTACTCTACCCCCTCTTCCCATCATGCTCTGCTCTAGTCTCCTGCCTGTTCCTGCAGACGCCCAACGCTCCTTTGCCTCAGAGCCTTGCTTCTTCCCCACACATCCACACAGCTTGCTCACCCCTTCTTTCCCTTCAAGTGTCTGCTCAAAGGCCACCCCAACGGAGAGGTCTGCCCTGACTGCCCAACATGGTGTCCACCCCCCTTCTCTGCCCCCACCGTTTCACTTTTCTTCAAACCACTTATCACCCTATCATTCATTACACATTTAATGGTTTGTCTTTCTCAATTGTGCATCTCACTCCCTCCTCCCCTCAAAACTAAACTAACCAAACCCCATCACCATTGAGTCGATTCCAACTCATAGCAACCCTATAGGAGAGTAGAACTGCCCCATAGGGTTTCCAAGGCTGTAATCTTTACAGGATTAGATTGCCACATCTTTCTCCTGCGGAGCGGCTGGTGGGTTCGAACCTTCAACCTTTCGGTTATTAGCCAAGCACTTAGCCACTGCGCCACCAGGGCCCTTCTCTTCCCCCCAGCAGAAGGTGTATTCCATGAAGCAGGGACTTAACTCTCCTGTGCTGCTCTGGTTCCACACCTGGAAAAGGACTTGGCACACAGTAGGTGCTCAATAAACACTGGTTCAGTGAATCCAGGAGCCTGCTGTGTGCCCTGTCCCCAAGAGGGATACTACTGCAGAATGGATTAGCCTCTTATGAGGTTTCAATTTCTCAGCCTGGATGCAAATTTAAGAGGAATAAAAGGGCTGTCTTATTATGTTAGCTGATGTCAAGTTGGCCCCAACTCCTGGTGACCCCATGCACAATGGGATTGGACTGTTGTGATCCATAGGGCTTTCACTGGCTGATTTTCAGAAGTAAATTGCCAGGACTTTCTTCCTAGTCTGTCTTAGTTGGAAGCTCTGCTGAAACCCGTTCAGCATCATAGTAACACACACGCCTCCACTGACAGACGAGTGGTGGCTGTGCATGAGGTGCATTGGCCAGGAATTGAACCAAGGTCTCCCGCATGGAAGGCAAGAATTCTACCCCTGAACAACCACTGCCCTCAACATCATCATAGGGTCTCCGAATCGATTGTCCTTCACACCTCTTTCTATTTTTCTGCTTCAATCTGTTGAAAATAGGGTTACTGTGAGTCAAAACCAACTCCACATCACCTAACAACAACAACCTCTTTCCTGCCCTCCACACCTCTTTCCCCCACCAGCACTGTTTTACAACTAAATCCCATCAGTTCCCTTCCTACCTCTTCCTGTTAAATTCAGTAGACACAGAGAAGATAAAATGGATGGTCAGATATAGAGCCTCTTTCAGACTGAGAATGTGTGCTTCATCAACATTTTTGAGCATCTAGTCTGTGTCCCTGGGTGGCCCAGATGGTTTGCACTTGACTAAAACCCAAAACCAAACCAAACTCATTGCC